TTTTCATCAAGTGCATCGAGCTTTGAAAGATCGGGGATTAGTTTGCTCAAAGGTGTTGTCATGATTGCAGTATATGGAATTTGTTTCTAAATTGTTGGATATATGAACTGCAAAACTACACCGTTAGTATTGACTGGAAATATAAATAGTAATTAAAAGGAACAAATTCGTAAACCGTGTCGTGGTAAAAACCACTACCTTAGAAACGAATTCGCCCCGATGTGTGTAATCACTGCAGTAGGCGGACCGTCCCCCGAGGTTAACATGATCGCTCCGAATTCCGTACACCCGAAACCGGAGTGGACTGATGGTGGTATTGCTCTTCTGATTGGAAAGCACTCAAAGAGAACTCACAGAGAGAATTGTAGAAAACACTTTTGTAAATGAATTGTGAATGTTTGAGAGTGAGTTAAGAAGCTGAATATAGCCCTCTATTTATAGGCTAAAAATAGGGTTAAAATCGTCCATAAAATTTCAGGATTAAATCTCTTCTTTTGTAACAGCTGAAACGTCTAGATGAACCTAACTCAAAAATAGTCCAGGTTCATTGTATCATTGTTCAGCTGTTATAACTCCCGAAATTATATCATGTAACCCATGGAATTAAATCAAATAACTCCTGTAACTCCTGATATTAACAGCTTGTCTCCTCTGTACAAAGCTGGAAAATCAGTCCATGACCACGACCATCTCCACGACCACGACCACGACTCGACTCGACCCGAGCCCAGTCGTGTCGTGCCGAGACTAGACGAGACGGACGGCTGCGGCGGTGCGCGAGAGTCTCTCTTGTTCTCTATCACTCAACAAGGAAGTGGGAAAGCCAAGCCTTAAATACTATTCCCAATAGTGTTTCCAATACTATGTGGGATTGAGCATTACCAACATGATGGACTAAGATTGTCAAACTGGGCAATAAAAGAAGGAAACCCTTCACTCCATGGATCGGTTCACCAAAGGCTCCTTGCTATGTACATATGCACAGGTCGAGGACTCGAAGCTGAAAGATAGCTCTGGAAAATGAAGGTTGCAGGTAAAGATGCCGGTGGAGACCTTTACGACATCGTTTTATCCATTTGTGCTTCACAGAGGGAGACCAGTTCCATCTCACGATTACTTACCAGAATTGAGGTTTCGAGCTCTCAAAGAAGGAGGGAAACTTTATCATGGGTATTGAGAGGTTACGTTAAAGGAGGGCATATGGTTAATGCAGTTGAAACAGTGATTAAAATGCTTGACATGGGATTTCATCCATAATATTTAGATGGGGTTGTTGTTTTTCAGGAACTGAGGAAAAGAATCCAACAACCAAAAAACTTGGAAACTTATATTAATCTCTGCAGGCGACTATATGATTCCAGCTTGATTGGACCTTGCCTTGTATATTTGTATATAAAGAACTATGAGCTTTGGGTTATAAAAATGGTATAAAACTGATGAATGTAAATGAAAATCTTGGGCAATATTCTTTGTCAAGTAGTCTCATTGTAAGAGCTTTAGCATAGGACTCCCATAAACTTGATTTTTGTGTAGATGCCCTAGCATAGACCTGTAATTGGGTGATAATCTTCAAATATACTTTTCGTGAAGGGAATTTGTGTCGATACTCTATCGAAGATGGGTTGTAGCATTGAGGAGGAGCTGCTCATAGTCTTTGAATCACCGCCTGTTGAGATTATCTCATTCCTCGACGCTGATGCTAGGGGTATTCCTTTTCCCTAGAGGCTTTGCAGTGAATTAGTCTTGTTTCCTCTTAATTTCTTGTTGTAACCAAAAGAATAATGATATTCAGTAAATAATTTATAGATTTCAGTTGAGTGATGTAATTTCAGTAGGGTAAATTACAAATGTAGTTTACCCTTTAAGTAGTTAGGCTGTCAATGTATTGTAACTGATACTGGTCTCTGTCGAGTGTCAACTACAGTTGAGACATTACTAAACTGAAAGCTATTATAATGTACAGCAATATATTCTAGTTGATTTAGTAAGTAAATTTGACATTTTTAAGGCTCTACTTTGAAGTTGCAGAAGCCAGTGTTCTTAATCATTTAATGTGTTGCATGAGACGATTGATGACAGAAAATGTAGTGAACCTCAAAAGATTCCCACGAAATTCATGATTTAATAAATCACGGGAATTGGGGTTCACCACTATCCGACTCTTTCTCAACCAGGCAACAAAACAGAACCATGCAGGGTCCTCACATGGGAGCCAGTACCAGTATCGAATCTATAAATATTTTTTAGAGTAAATACATATGCATTACTATCACGAAAAATTCCTATAAGATGAACATGATTAACGAAAGGTACAATCAATAAAATAAGTAATTAACCAAACAAAACAAGTAATTAACTAAACAAAATTTAGATTTCAAAATGGGCAATGCCTACCGTCCATCTTCTCACACTCCCAAGGGTATATTCCCACTTTGTTTTGTAAAATATAGATGACAACTTGTAATTATGACTTAAAACTATACAGGAGATGTTCAACTCATCCTTTAATCATTCACCTAAACAACTTAACAAAACGTTTTACTTTTAATTTTAGTCCCTCTATTGTGTTTCAATTTGAGAGATATCTTCTTTGGTTTGACATAATATTGTGTAGCTGTTAAAGCGACCGTGTGAATTATTTTTTTTAATGAATCATCCTTGTGTATTTATTTGGCATTAAAATTTATGTTTAGGGTCATATGTTAATGAATTATTGTAATTGTGTATGTTTTTTATTTATTAGAGTCATATGTTATGTTTAGAATTGTTTTTTGTAAAATATGTAAATTCTATGTACTAAAATTATAGTGTGTCACGTGATAGTAATATCTCAGAGAAAATATTAAGATTTAATGGTAAAAAATGGTCAAATAACTTAATTGATTCAATTTCTCGATTCAAGGACTTAATTTATTTAATTTCTCAATTTGAGAATTTAATTGGATGTAAAATTAAAAAAATGATTTTTTTTTTAAAAAATCAAAAACTTTAAACACCCTTAAACCTAAAATTTATTATTAGTTAAATAAACTAACTGGATTTTCATATGACCCAAATTGTATGATGTAATAACAATAAGAACTTTGACGTTATTAATTTAGTGGCAACAATTAATTGTCATATTAATAACATTTATAAAAGTAGAAGATCAAATTATGCTAAATTAAAATAATCAAATAAAATTCAAAATTTTAATTAATATAAGGACTAAAATCATAATTATACCTCAGAAAACTCATAACGGATGAAAGAGGATTGTAAATTAATTTTGATGAAAAAAATATGATGTTGTTAGATCTATTGGCTACATAACCTTTCGTTAATCTGATTATTTTTTTAATCAGAGAATCATTTTCATTGTGTCTTGGTGTATGCATGGCAGATCAACTTTCATATTTTTTTATATTAATAATAAAATTAATAAAATATTATTAATTTTATTAAACGATCAATGATCTGAATAGGTTATGCAGGACCATCCATGATTTAGACACAGCAAGCTTACATTCTTTTCTGGTTTGTGATGACAGAATATAATAATATATTTTTCCTTTTAGTTTAGCATTTATTCTTGATAGCAATGGTAATCGGAATAAATTGAGGATAATCTTCTTTTAAAAATTTTAAATTATCATGTTTTTTTTATATTAATAATCTATATTTATTCTTTAAAATTTTATAAATTTTTTTTTTAATTTTAAAAATTCGTACTCTAATCATAAAGTATGCATGATTGTGACTGCCATTAGGAAAATCAGAATTTATTAAGGAAAGGTATATTGTTTTTAAATGTAAGAAAACTGAGAGATGAATGGATAACATTGCATGGGGTTTCTTGTGATGACCAATAAAGAACCAAACATCATAAATTTTGAATGAAATTGTCGTTGAAAGTTTGGAAACAGCAACCTCAGCAGTAGGATCTGTTTGGTATTTGATGAGACCCATCACCTTATTACATGATCCAATCACTACACAATGCCTAGATCTATCATGTGTTTTTCCTTGTTTTTTTAATGTCAATACACACTATATTGTATAGGCTATAATATGGTCAATAATTCTTGATCTAATTATGATATTAGTCCCTCTTCTATGTTGAAAATTTAAGATTTAATCCACCTACTTCTAATTGGTGTAATTTAGTTCATCTAAAAACCCGTTGAATGTCCTCAATGGTAAAGGAGTATTTTTCGTCTTAAAAGATTTGGACTCAAGCAACTATGATTGCAGAATGTGTATGTGTTATTAATGACTTAGAAAAATTCTAAATATATACTATCTTGTAATCAGCGTAGAATATTAGAAATTAGCTCATCTAATTTTATAATATTATATGTATATCCTGAAAAGTGATTATGCAAATTTTCTTGATGTTAATAAGTTACACAATTAACGTTGCATAGAAACTCAATCATGTTCAATCAATAATGAATTTACATATCATCCAAATTTTTAAGGTTTTTTTTAATTCTATTGATAACATCTAAATAGTATTAATTTGGATCTCCTGATAACATCAGAAAAATAGATAAGATCAAATTATGGAAAAATGAAATAGAGAGATTAAATCTCAAATTTCAACATGATAAAGGGACTAAAACCACAATTAAACCTAATATTTTGATACATTCATGGGGATGTGTTTTATATTTATATATATAGTATTTGTTTACTTCGGAGGCACCCACCTTTGCTTAAACTGTTGATAAGCCCACATTAATCAAGTTTTAATGTTATTTAAGTTACCTTAATTATAAGAAATCAATTCATCTGCTCCAACCGTTGACCAAGATTAGTTGGCATGTTCTCATTCCTCATCTTCATCTGACGATGACGAGGCAATAACCCAGTGGTTACCGGTTCCACACTGGTCTGCTTTTAGCATTGGAGTTAGCCACCAAATCAACCACTTTTCTTTCTGGTAACCCCAACACCAAAACTGCCAAACTTTTCATATAATAAGGCTTCACTGAGAAAAAAAAGCTGTGGAGAATCTCAATTGAACTCAAAGGCTAAAACTTTTTGCAAAGTTCTCTTCTCTATGCACTGCATCACTTCCCTCTCTTCGGTGCTTGAAGAAGGAAAGAAAGGAGGTAAAAAACAACCCTTTTTTTAAAAGCTTTCTTCTTTCATTTTTGTTTGTTGATTCTTGGGAAAGACTAGGTATTTCTATGTGAATAGAAGATAGTGAATTTGTATATATTTGAAGAAGAAAAAAGGTGAAGGAAAATTACCATATGGTATAATAGTGATTATACAAACATGCGTGGTCTTAAGGTTATAGAAAGGTTCAAAAGCACTCAAGTTCATGCCTTGAATCCACCAGATACCACTGTTGTTAACACTACTGCCTCTTCTTCCACATCCAGTAAGCTTGGTAATCATAGAGTCAACTTTATAAGGTCAAAACTCAAATCCCATAAGGCCTGCTCCGTCTCAAGAGCTAAAACACTGCTTCCTTTCGGTCTCCCTAGAACTGACCTTCTTGAACCACCCATAGAACCTCACTTGAAACCCGTTAAGTTGATAGAAACGTTAGCCGACCTTTACCGTCGGTTCAAGGCTTGTTCAGAATCGGGGAAAGCTTTTATATGCATTGAGCAGTACTCGGTTTTGAGTAGCCTTGGTGATCCCAAGTTAGTGAGAAGGTGCCTCCGTGCTGCGAGGCAACATGCCTTTGATGTGCACTCGAAGGTAGTTTTATCAGCTTGGTTAAGGTATGAGAGGAGAGAAGATGAGCTTGATGGTGTATCACCAATGGATTGTAGTAGGTTCATTCTTGAATGTCCAAAGGCTGCCCTGGTATCCGGGTACGATCCAAATTCAATTTATGGCCATTGCAAGTGTTATGAAGAGTGTACTACGCCCTCTGAAGCACAATTTTCCGAGGCGAACGAGTTCTTGACATTGGAAGAAGATAGTGATATCTCCTTTTGTGTTGGCAATGAAGAAATTAATTGTGTTAGGTTCAAAATTGCTGCACTTTCAAGCCCATTTAAGGCAATGCTATACGGGAGTTTCATGGAGTCAAAAACTTATAAAATTGATTTCTCACAAAATGATATCTCTGTTGAGGGGATGAGAGCCGTGGATTTGTACAGTAGGACAAGGAGGGTGGACTCATTTTCTCCCGAGATTGTTCTGGAACTCTTATCTTTTGCAAATAGGTTCTGCTGTAAGGAAATGAAGTCTGCTTGTGATAATCATTTGGCTTCTTTAGTCAGTTCCATGGAGGATGCTTTGGATCTTATCGAGTACGGGTTAGAAGAAAGGGCAAATGTTCTAATAGCTTCATGTTTGCAAGTGTTGCTAAGAGAGCTCCCGAGTTCTCTTTATGACCCGAAAGTGATGAAAATATTTTGTAGCTTTGAGGCTAGGGAGAGATTGGCTTCAGCAGGGCATGCTTCTTTCCTCTTGTATTATTTCCTAAGCCAGGTGGCTATGGAAGAAAACATGCTGTCAAATGCAACAGTTATGCTGTTAGAAAGGTTGAGAGAATGTGCCATGGAACAGTGGCAAAAGGCTCTAGCTTTGCATCAACTGGGTTGTCTGTTGCTTGAGAGGCAAGAGTACGGAAGTGCTCAATGTTGTTTCGAAGCAGCTAGTGAGGCGGGTCATGTTTATTCGTTAGTTGGTATGGCAAGATGTAGGTACAAGCAAGGGCAACAATATTCAGCCTACCAGTTGATGAGCTCACTTATCTCCGAGTATAAACCTGTTGGGTGGATGTATCAAGAACGGTCTTTATATAACATCGGGAAGGAAAAGATTGTGGATTTGGACACTGCAACTGAATTGGATCCCACCCTGCCATTCCCATACAAATATAGAGCAGTCTCAAAGGTAGAGGAGAAGCAAACTATGGCTGCTATTTCAGAGATTGACAGAATCATCGGATTCAAGCTTGCACCCGATTGCCTAGAATTACGAGCTTGGTTCTTCATAGCAATTGAGGATTATGGAAGTGCTTTGAGAGACATTAGAGCACTGTTAACTTTGGAACCAAATTACAAAATGTTCCATGGGCAAGTAAGAGGTGATATGTTGATCGAGCTCCTGAACCATAAGGTCCAGCAAGGAAGTCAAGCTGACTGCTGGATGCAACTTTATGATCGATGGTCTTCTGTAGATGATATTGGCTCTCTAGCTGTCATTCACCAGATGCTGGTTAATGACCCTCGAAAAAGCTTCCTTAGATTTCGGCAATCTCTTCTACTTTTGAGGTAAGCTTTTTGTTATCAAGTTTTTGTTTACCGAATTTCTTATTGAAATGCAATTCTTGACCTTCATGAGGGTTTTTAGTAAGGTTTTTCATTTCTAGAATCCTTCTGTCTTTAGAATATCAATCGTGTGTTTTCTGAAATCCATTGTAATTCAGTGCTGTCCTGTAATGGGAATGTGCCACTTTAAGCTTAGAGAATAGGCGTATGATTGCAGGCTAAACTGTCAGAAGGCTGCAATGCGGTGTTTGCGATTAGCTCGTAATCTTTCTAGTTCTGAGCATGAAAAGTTAGTTTATGAAGGATGGATTCTATATGACACTGGCCATCGTGAAGAAGCTCTTGCTAGAGCTGAGAAGTCCATTTCGATTCAGAGGTCGTTTGAAGCCTTTTTCCTGAAAGCATACACGTTAGCAGACTCCAGTTTGGATCCTGAATCTTGTTCTTATGTTATTCAGCTTCTGGAGGAAGCCCTTCGATGCCCTTCAGATGGTATCCGGAAAGGACAAGTGAGTAAATTGTTGCTTGGACTCCATTATTAAACGATCATATTCATACTATTTTTCTGTTTTTGGTGATATTTTACAGGCACTCAATAATTTGGGCACAATACTTGTGGATTGTGGTAAATTAGATCAAGCTGCAACCTGCTATATGAATGCCCTTGAAATCAAACACACAAGAGCTCATCAAGGCTTAGCACGTGTATATTTTTTAAGAAATCAGCGGAAAGCTGCATACGAAGAGATGACCAAACTAATAGAGAAGGCACATAATAATGCATCGGCTTATGAAAAACGATCCGAATATTCTGATCGTGAGATGGCAAAGAATGATCTCAACATGGCCACAAAACTGGATCCACTAAGAACTTACCCCTACAGATACAGGGCAGCTGGTAATTTTCAATCTCTTTTTTTTTTCTCTGTTTCTTTAATTTGATTCAAAGGAAAACTATCATCATAAGAAAGGGCATGAAACTCATATTTAATTACTTTTTGTTAATACATATGTATATGTATATATGATCTGATAAATTTCAAAGTACTGACATGCTGCATTATATAATTACTTTGTTAGTGTTAATGGATGACCAAAAAGAAACCGAAGCAGTTGATGAGCTTACAAAAGCCATAGCTTTCAAGCCTGACCTGCAAATTCTTCATCTTCGAGCGGCGTTTTACGAGTCAATGGGTGATATGAAGTCAGCTCTCCGTGATTGTGAAGCAGCACTCTGCTTGGAACCGAACCATATGGACACGATTGATCTATATAATAGAGCACGAGACCAAGCCATCAATCCACAAGAAATGTAAGAGGCATCATTGCTATTACATTTCTGATAAACTTGTTGATTTAGCCTTCGGTTAAAAGGAAAAGAATCATGGATTCTTTCACACCTAGCTTCTGAATGACTTCACCATGAAAAGGAAAAACCCGGTGGGAGCTGCTTGCAAGTTTTGAGCAGCCTTATAGAATCAGGTCTACCTTGCCACGCAAGAAACGATTTAGACATGTAGGTTAAAAGGGCTTACACACTATTCATTGCTTGCAAAAAGAGATGGTATGAAGTTTATAAATATGTATCTTATCATTGGAGAAGATCTTGTCATCTCTTTAGTTCATACTGTATATTTTCTGTTCAGTTTCGATTTCATACAATTTGAAAGTTCTTCCTCCATGTTTCCCTCTCTTCCTTTTTTTTATTTCCGAGTAGCAAGTTCGTTGATCACAAGCATGCTTCTTAAGGGACAATGACCCCTGATAATGATTAATTCTAAGGGCGGTAAAATGAAACTTTTGCAAATATGAATATTTAGCTCAAAATTCAGTAATTTCATTGGAGAGTGAGAAGAAGCCATTTGGTGCAGCACTGTAGAGGGTAGTAAAATGTGGCAAGAAATCGACAGGCCACCATACAAAAACCGACAACAATTTGTTAATTTATGTTTGGATGGTAATGGGAATACTTTGAAGTAGTAGGTACAAGAAAAAAAGTGTGATAGAGGGGCATGGCTATCTTATTATAACTCGACACATGGAGGGGCTCAGTGACCAGGCCACCACCATACGTGCTACGGGGTGCAAAGGCCTTGTGACATGCTCTCTTTGTGGACCACAGTTTCTTAAAACATAAATGTTTCTAGTTGTTGGTTTTTGAGTAGAATCGGACTCGTTTTGAAGAGACCAGACAATCTCCCCTGGTGCAATACGAAATGTCCCATTGTCTTTTTCAAGATGAGACATCTTCTGTTCTGATAATTGATGTTTCTAGCAATATATATGTAGTTGGTGTAACACTTTGGACAAATTTGTTGATTTTGGGTTGGGTGAATTTCGATTTATTCAATTCAGGTTTTAATGAATCATTTTAGGTCAACTTAATTTTAGGTTGGAATCTTTTCGAATTTGGTTAATTTGAAAGTTGAGATAATTTTTGAGTTAGAGTTTATTCAAGTTCTAATCACTACAAATTTGAATCACTATCGAGTTCGAGATAATTCAAGTTCGATTGTTAACTTTAATAATCAAATTCAAAATTTATCAAATTGGGTTTCAAGTTCCTATCAAAATTTGAGATCTCCATTATTGGTAAGGTTTTGAGATATTGCTCTGCTTTCCTAACCTTTCCCAAAGGCATGGCCCAAAACTAATGCCCAAAGGGATTCCCTAAAATCAGTTATTCAGAGAATTCCAGTCCAGTCCAGTCCTCAAAGGTTACATCTGATGTGAATTCAAAGTATTATCTTTACTGTTATTTCAAGTTATCAGGGAGAAGAGGAGATAATGTTGTCTTGCCATTCAGGCAACAACCATAGTAGTAAAATACAAGTCATGTCAAGGTCAAAGGTCCATTGGAGCAATATAGCTGATTTAGCCATAGATTACAATTACTAAAGGTTTGCAGGCAAACCGACTTGAAATGTTTGTCTCTTCTTTGGACTTAATCCCAACCAAATTGTACAATGACCTCCATCTCGGACATAAATTCTGGCAACTGATCATAGTTTTTAATTACAGTCTTGGAGGCTATGTAATGTATCTTGCCAGCTAATTTCTATTATGAACAAATGATTAAACATTAAGCATTCTCTAGCTTCATTTAATAAACCTGTTGAGCTTTAGGTAACAAGATAAGTACCCAGCATCTCTTTTGATAGATACGTGCGCACACGGTCAAGGTTTTGCTGCCATCAGTCTTTCACGTTGAAAATTAAGGAAAAGAAAAGAAAAGAAAAGTGCCAACATTCTGTTTAGTTCAATGCGCATTTACCAATTATGATAAATACCAAAGTATGAGTTCATAGCGAATAATGGGGAAAAGAAAAGGAAAAAAATCCCTAGCCATTGACACAAACGTAAGCCTGTTAAATCCTTTTCAATGTTCACTACAGAATGGGAGGAAATGAGTTAAGAAAAATGACAGAAGAAGAAGGTTAGCTCTTACTTGTTGGCCTCTTATGTAACAAACCCATTGCTTTGTCCTTCAGTTTCGTTAAGACCCATTCTCCCCAAAAAGGATTAAAACCCAAAAAAAAAAACTACAATTAGTTAAAAATAATAATTGATTTTTAGAAGGGCGCATAAGAGCAAGCAAGGCACCTGATGAGGCCATTTTCTTTACAGTAAGTACAAGCCTTGATCTCCTCAGACGCCATTGCTAGCGTTACATCCGTCGCACAATACGAACCTGTAACCGCCGCAAACGCCGCAGTTGCAGGGTTCGTCCGCCGACAGTCCCTCCATTAACTTCTTAAGCTCGCCCGTCTCGTGTAGCTGTTTGATCTCCTCAGCCCCTCCCACGTATTTCCCTCCAATGAAAATCTGCGGCAAGGTCAACTTGCTTTTACAAGGATCCCTTTCAACACGTTCAAGAACCGGGAATCCATAGACAAATCCCGCTTGTCGATGGAGACTCGGAATCCTAGAAGGATCGACCAGACGGTCTTGCAATCCTCGAACGTCGACCGAAGCACACGAAGGCTGGTGAAGTAAACCACAATGCGGTTATCGGAGTCCGGGATCGAAATGTATCGATCCGGGAATTTCCCATTGGATTCGGACACGGTGGAAAACATTAACGGTTCTTTTGGCTGCGGGGGAGAGAGAAGAAGGAGAAGAATCGCCTGCGCAGAGGTGTTGGATATCTTTGAAAGAAGAGCAGGGGAAAGGAGGCGACGTGTTAAGAAACAGCACTGGTGACTTTTTGTTGCCCCACGGCCGCCACATTTGTTTGCGGTTGGAATGTAGAAGAAAACAAACTCAATTGAAATTGAAAATACCATGAAACAAAGAAAGTAGCAGTTTACTTGAGGGGAAGAAGGGCAATGATTGAAGGAGGGAGTGCAAAATCGTTTTTATTTTCATCTCTGGGTGAAGGTTGTTGAGAGGGTGAGTTTATTCTTAGAAGGCGGCCTTTTGGAATTAGGTGGGATATTTTAGTTATCTTCCGTTAAAAAAAAGGAATTGCTGACGTAATAATTTTTTATTTTTTCAATTATAATTAGGAGCGTAAATGAATCAAATTTGAACGAACAATGTTATGTTCGTTTATCTTTTTAAGGTGTTTGTTTTCGTTTAAATTTTTAATATTGTGTTCGTTTATTTATTTTTGAAAGTGTACGCGTTCGTTTACATATTGTCTTTGAACATGTTCATTTAATGATCGCAAACGTGTTCATTTATATGTTCACGAACTTGTTCATTTAGTGTTCACAAACATGTTCGTTAAGTGTTCTTTTAGTTCGTTTAGTGTTCTTTTATCATTAGTTTATATATTCAATTTTTAATTTTATCCTATCATTTGCAAGATAAAAAAAATGATAAAATTACACCACTAGTGCTTAAACTCCTTAAAATCCACAATTTAAATTTGAACTTTTATCATGTATTCAATTTAGTCTCTACCTTCACCAATATTTAAAATGAAAAAAAAAGGAAAAAGAGAATCGGGTAAACGAGCATGTTCATAAACATAAATAAACAAGCTTATAAATGAGCTTGTTCGTGAACATAAACGAACCGAACACACCTCTATTCGTGTTCGTTCATTTATTAAATGAACATAATTTTTTTTGCTCATACTCGTTTATTTAGCTTAACAAACAAACATAAACGAACGTTATACGAACGGTTCAAGAACAGCTCATCAAACACTCTTTTCATTTACACCTCTAATGATAACGTGACATTAATTTATGAAATATCAGTATTACCATTAATTTTTTAACGACGGATGAATGAAATGTAACATTAAGTATGATTTTTTTTAAAAATTATTAAATGATTAAAACAAAACCATTGAATTGAAATAGATAGATGATTGAATATGTTGTTTACCCTAATCTTAGTTTCACTCATATTTCCTCTTGAAGTGTATATACTCGTAAATATTACCATGAATGCGTTCTCACTTCATATGCGACTGAGATTTCTGAATCTGCAAGTAAATTGAGAATATCAAGATAGAAGGGAAACATTAAAAAGAGAGGGAGACAAAGTGGTGTTTGGGGACCATAATTGATGGTTGATGCACAAGTGAAGTGTTCACTCCAAAAAAACCAAAATTTATGTTTTCGTCTGCTTTACTCTATAAACGACCCTTCAACTAAAACTGGATTCTCAACGGCGTATACTTAAATTCAGAAAGTACAAAATGAGTCAAAATTTTAGAACTCGATATCTCTAAGAAGAACAACACTCTCTTTTATCACTTAGATCGTTTGATGGGTTAATCAATTCACATTTATCCTCTAACCTCTAGTATTTATTTAAATAGATAATAACTTTAATACAAAAGAAATTTACATAGGAAAAAATCTACTCAAATTAAATTTCTTACTTTTTCTAATTGTAAAAGTATAGTTTTGTATTAGTGTTGTTTTGTACGAATTCAACAGATATGTACTTGTTTCTTTCTGGCCAAAGGTGGATTATTTGGCCCGGGCACCCAAACTTTTAATTTGGAATCTGTAGTAATTGCAACAATTCTCATAAAACTTGTCAAACATAATTTTTTAATGGGTCGTGTCAGGTAGGCCCCATAATCAAAATAAATTTAATATATCTTGAGGCGTGACGATTCCTAATGAAAAATATTTTTTCTAAAAATTTTTAAAAGAAAATTAAAAAAATAATATTTTAATACCCATGAAACTAGTCACGCCGGTGTGACTTCCAACGGGTATAATTTTGACTTTTTTTACCGTTGTTCAACGGTCGAATTTTTTTTAAAATTTTCATGGCTATTTTTCAGTTTGAAAAAAACTAGATGTTGAGTAGAGTATTATAAATAGAGGTTTTGGTTGGATTGATTTTTTACTTGTAATTAAACATTTTATTGAGAGCAAAAACTTTTGTGTTGAAGAATTTGTGTTGAAATGACTTCAAGAAAAGAAATGTTACGTCTTGATGATGTTCATATTTCGTCAATCGAGTTGATAACGGTAAGTTTAATTTGTTTTATTTCATTTTAGTTTTGACAAAATTATAGTATTAATAATTATTATTTATATAATTGTATTAAATATTTTATTTTCAAATTGTAGCGAG